ATCTAAAAAATGTCGTTGGAGTGTGACCGTTAGTGTATCGTGATGAAATTTGATATATCAACATTCCTTTCTTCTATAAAATCATTTAATCGTCGAAAAAATTACTTATTTTCTAAATGTAGAATATAAAAAGTTAACATTGTAACTGGATCAAAAAAATGTTATTTCTATTTAAGTATATTATTGTGTCAATATATAAAAGTCGCTCACAGTATTATTTTTTGTTTTTATATAAACATTAGAATGGTAATTTTCGTTTAACACTTCGCCATAATAAATCATAACAAGAATTAGATACTCACTGTTCTATTAATCTAACATTAACATAACAAGACACATAATCAGTGCGATTATGATAGATGACTAATGAAGAAATAAATTAGAAAAAATATTTAAAAAATAGACACTATATAAGTATGTTATAAAGTATACAGCTGTGAATTGGTTTTGACATATTTTATATCGCAAAACAACATTTATTAAGACGTAAGAATTTTAATAAAAAAAAAAAATGTTCATTTAATTGATTATTTAAATAAAAAAATTTCAAGATAATATATATAAAAACATTTTTTAATGAAGAATAATAACAATAACCCAACATTTATTGTATTAGATACTTCATAATTTAAATAGGACTATTTATTTTTTGCATTTAAATGTAACATTTTTTAAACCCGGTGTTTTTTTTTTTTTGTTTTTTTAAAATAATATTTACAATTTATACAAACATTTGTACAACAAATAAAATTCTTTAACACAAAAGTAGTAGTAAATAAAAACAAAAGGAATACGTGAGATAGGAAGCAACCCGTTTAGTAGTGGCTCTTGTTATGTGTTCTAATACTTGATTTTTATTGTTAATAATTCATTTTTTTCGTTTTAGAACTGATGAATTATGACAATTGCATTATTACGTTTCTTGACTAATTTATTTTTAACCTAATTTTTCTGGTGTAGTTTGGGAAAACATTTGGGAAACAAATTGATTTGTATGGTTTGAGAGTTTTTTGTGTATAATATTATTGATTGACTAACTTTTTTACTGTGTAGATATATAATTTATTTTTTAAGTTTATATTCAAGTCATACCGAAGAAATCCAGTTAGTTGTAGACTAATAGTTTGAAACACTTTCATTGGGAGGATGTTTGATAGTTGGCTTGATATCCAGGATTGGATTCCGTACGACCAGATTATAAAACTCAAGATTCTAGTTCATATTAATTTAAATTCTGATTTTGATTTTTTCTTATAGTGGTGTTTTGTATATTTTTTTATTATATTTTATACGATTCAAAAATAATGTACCGATTATAGTTTAACTTTATTGTTATTATTATTTAGGCAGACCGAAGGTTGAATAACTGTTATTATATTCACTGATTGAAATTTAATACATTCTAGATATTTACCAAGAATTATCAATTATTGCAAATGAACTGAAAACTTTAAACAAAGTTAATTAAAATGAATTTACTTAACTTGTACATATATCTATCGGTTGATTTTAGATTTTAAAATTATATTTTACAAAAAAGTAGTAAGTAAAATAATATTAGTAAGAAATTAATTTTTAGTAATATACTTTTTGAAAACTAATACATGCAAATGTTATACTATAACTGTTAAATATAAACGTACATGTAGTATAAAGCGTATTCATTTATATTCTTTTAATCATCATGTTAAAATTTAACATGATGATTAAAAGATTTAAACATTTATTTTTGTTTAAACATTTAAACATTTAATTTAAAAATTTAATGTTATATTGATCAAATAAATCGATTATAAATTTTAAATGATATTAATTTACTATGACGCCTTTTCCTATAAATATTTGTAATTCATATCATTAAGAAATCAATCAATAATTATTTATAATACTCACCCCCCTGGATATAGAAACGGTCTGTAAACTTATCCAAAATACTTAAATATTTTTACTTGTCGTTTTAATTAACTTTTAACTTCCCCGAATCGTTAAGAAATTAATCTGATTTTTTTGTTAACATCAACTTATATCTATTCTTATTCACAACTTGCCCATCCTTGTCTATTATATATTCTTATATCTACTACCATTATTAACTGAAAACTTGTCGATTTCTATTACATTAATTCTATCCACTACGAAAAGGATCTTCGACCGTTCACGTTACACGCATTGATTGTAATGATAATCGGCTCGTGATTTTAATTTCTTAATTCATTGTTGTAATTAAGACTCGTATACTAAGAGTACTGCTTGTGTTACTGAGATAGTTATTGTTCGAAGTTAGATATCATACTATCCATGACTATTGTGTTGTGTAAGTTTTACGTAATGCTACAGTAGTTGACGTATCTATTAGATTAACAACGGACTATATACTACAATAGTGAATATACTGTTTATAGTTGTATAAAAAAACAATGCGATCAAATTTATCTATCCACGGATCAGTGATTATTATTTTTAAAAATAACTTACTACGATTGCACTTCAAATAGTTTGATCCATACGACAGTAGATAAAATAAAAATTCTCATTGATAATGCATTAAAATTTTGGAATTCATGTAAAAAAAAAAATATTATCATATTGTCTTATGTTTAAAATTATTATGTTTTAACAAATCTATTTCGCTTTAAAACGATGAAGTAATCGTGTAATGCCCTGATGATGGTGTAAGAGCTATTGTTCAAAATTTTTTAAGACTAACTGACCGAAAATACATTTTTCAATAAACAAAATAATAATTACATTACGTATTAATAAATGCTTGGAGACTTTGGTAATCAATTTTGTGATATTTTTAAGTACAAGCGATCCTATTAATAAAAATGAATAAAATATGACATTTTCTCGTTAGTTACAGGCGAAATAGGAAAACACGATTACGTAATTTTCCTACTCATATGTATTATTTAAGCAGTCCCGTTTTACGGTACAAAATGATTTGATGTACATACGTATTTCGTCTTATCTTTAAAACGTTTAAAATATTCTAGAAATGGTTTTCGCAACAACTTCAAGATAAAATACAATTTAACAACAATTGCCGTACATTTATATAAACGATAAAGCTGTACGATAAACGTTCGGAGTGCCTATACGGTGTGGCTAAACGCTATTTCGTCACAGAGGTTTATTATGTTCTATCACTAGGGATGGCTTCCGTCCCGTGTTATTGGATTCGTACAATTTTTGTACGTCCCGGTGTTTCGATGCGCACGTGGCACAACAGACTGTCCGTTAACGAAGAAAAGAAAAATAGCGATAGCCGAAAGTTCGTTAGGTTTTCGGTGATCATCTTGTGATCCGGTGACGGCGGCCTCGTCGATCCTTCCGGGCATTCGTTTCCGTAAGCTCGACCAGATCAGAACGTCGAAAATATCGACCGCGCGAACGAAACGTACCCGATCGGAAACGACCCGTATTTTATAGCGTTCCGTGTTCCGACCGAACAAGATGTACGTGCTCAATCTTTACCGGAATATAAAAAGCGTACGAGTGAATTTTTAAACTATTTCGTACGCGATTGCGATAATGTTGTTCGTGCGTTGTTCGCACACCTCCGTGCGGTTTCGCGATATCCAACACGGGTCGGCCGCGCGGTGTACGCGAGCGAACGACAACGATTCGCACGGAGACGCTTCTCGCGAAAATCGTTTTTCGTTTGTTTGTTTCGACTCTTTGCCACGCCACGACGGTGCACACGCTGTGCCGCGTCGCCGACTCGTTCCGAACAACAGCACTGTGCGGTGGTGTCACGTAATGACGTCAAGACCTATGACAACGGAACGTTTTTTGTTGAACATTGTTCTGATCACGGTTTTACCGATAACAATCCAGAAACGAGTTCAAGCCGAAACGTTAAAAACGGAAAAAAAAATAAACAAATAAAACGGATTACAGCACACCACGGATGTGCTGTTTGTCGTTGTAAGTGCGCGCAACGTCTTCCTATATCAACGCGTTATCGGCGTGTACGAATCAGAAAACATAATATTATGCTTACGAGTATACAGTTCGGTCGTCGATCGCGAATGAACCGTTTCATTTTGTTTTTTTGTATTATTGTCAAGAACTACTACTATTATTATTATTATTATTATTTTGTTTTTCGATCATAAACGTACGCGTCTTCAATAGAAAACGGTACGATAACGGACAATTTAACACCAGTGATATAAATGTTATGAACAATGATTTTTTTATATGTAAACACACACACACACATAAATCGGTGATTTGTACCGAACAAGGAAATAACAAGCGATCTTATTGAGGGTAATATGATAATGATTTATTTCGAAAAAACATTCTTAAATATAAATTCAATTTAACATTAATTTTTAGCAAAATAAATAAAAGTGTTATTAATAAATTAAGTTAAATTAATATTAAAAGACGTAATAACAGAAACGTAGACAGGTTTACGGCGCACCTAACACCAAAAAATGGGTTATATATATATATATATATATATATATATATATATAAATTTTTTTTTTTTTGGGATCATTAACTTACATATAATAGCGTACGTTTGGTAATGTTTAATATTAAATTGTATACGTTGTACATATTAATATAATATAATATTGTATACATCCATAATCCACGTGATACATGAGTACAAATAATACTTAAAGAATATGATAGTTTTTTTTTAACACATACTAATTTTGTATCGGAGAAGATATTATTAAATAGATTAACTATACACAATCGTTGTGATGACTAATTAACGTGATATTTGGTCTTAATTAAAAAAAAAAAAATTATAATAATAATAATAATAACAAAACAAATTTACACTGGTACGTATCCACTAATATTAAGAAAACCTAGGAATTTTTATCACAAGATTATATAATAATTGAGTAAAATTTTACAATGTTACAGACTAAAATAAAATACAACGTATTTATATATAAATTTATGTATAAAGATTAATATGTAAAATAGTAAAAAAAAAAAAAACCATTCTAGACAAATGTTCTAAAAATGTATCAATAAAAATAATAATAATAATAATATGTCTACTTTGGTGCGAGCGAAAAATATCAATAATATACATAATCTATGTGTACAAGAAGGCATCGTAAAACAGCGGCTAAACAGCGGCGGCAGCGAATCGTTAATTGCGGATCATCGATAACGACGTCGGATTTCCGAACGGAGAGAGAGAGTGATTGAGTGAGAGAGAGAGAGAGAGAGAGAGAGAGAGAGAGAGAGAGGAGATATTGAGACGAAGGAAAAACGACGGGATCCTGTGAGAGTGCAATAAACGAGGATCGATCGGTGCGTGTACGCGTGTGAATGTGTGTGGGTATGTGGGGAGAGGCGATGGAGGAACGGACAAAATAAGACGATGATGATCGTATAAACTACTTCGGCTACGTTACGCGAACGTCAACGGGCCCAGTTCAGGTAGAGCGGCGGGGCTGCGGGTCATAAGTGCGCGGCCGCGTACAACCCGTCGTCTGGCAGACAAGGGTCGATGTTATTGTTGCGCATCTCGGCCGCAGCGGCCACGGCGGCCGAGGCGGCCGACGTGTCCGTCACCTTCTTCATGAAGCTGCGGATCTCGAACAGCCGAGGGTCCTCCTTCTCGTCCACGCTGCTGGCCGAGCTGCTGGTGACCGTGCCCACCGCGGTACCGTCGTCCGCCTCGTGCTTCTTCACGTGCCGGTCCAGGTTGGTCTGCTGCGAGAACCGCCGGTTGCACAGGCCGCACTTGAAGTTTCGCTCCTGCCGGTGTATGTTGCGCACGTGCCGCTGCAAGTTGGACGAGATGCTGAACGAGCGTTCGCAGTGCGCGCACCGGTACGGCTGTTCGCCCGTGTGCGTGCGCACGTGCCGCGTCAGGTTGGCGCTGCGCGGGAACACTTTGCCGCAGTATTTGCACGCGTACCGGTCCTTGGACTTGACCGCGCCGCCTCCGCCCGTCTGCTGCTGCTGCTGATGGTGGTGGTGCTGCTGCTGCTGCTGCTGCTGGTGGTGCTGGTGCTGCTGCTGCTGCTGGTGCTGCTGGTGCTGATGCTGCTGGTGCATCATGTCTTGGTACGCTTTCGGGTAGTTGGGCATGGGCGAGGAGTGCCGCAGAAAGTGTTCGATGGCCGGCGACGGGTTGGACATCATGAACGAGAACGGTCGGGACGCAGCGGCCGCGGCCGCGGCAGCCGCTGCGGCCGCCGCTGCTGCTTGGCCGAACGTCTGGTGCGTCTGCATGAGCCCTTGGCCGTCGGCCGTGGCCGCCGCGAAGTTGGACAGTGTCGCGGCCGAGTACATCGAGTCCAGGTACAGCGGCTTAGGCTGCGCCATCAGGTTGCTGACCGAGTACGGCGAGGACGGCGGTGGCAGCGCGGACGGCGAAGACCACTTGCGGCGCGACTCCCGACCGGACGGCGGGTCCTCTTTGAATGACGACGACGACGACGACAGCGGCGGCGGAAGCAGCGGTGGGCTGTCCGTGAACCGGGGTACCGTCGGCTCGGCGTCGGCACCGGTGCCGTTGGCGGGCGGGCATTTCCAGCGCTCGTCCTTGCACGTCACCGATAGGTCCAGCGGCTGATCGCACCTGTCCGCCGCGGCCGCGGGCGTATGCGCCCGCCGACGCTTCGGGCTGCTGCTGCCGTTGTCCCCGGTGTCCTCGTCGGCGGCGCGCTCCTTGACGCCGATGTCCGTGCCGACGGACAGGTCGCACGGCCCGGTGCACTCGCCGTCCGCGGCCGGCCGCTCGTGCTTGATCACCTTCGGGTCGGGGTACGTGGTCACGTTGGGCCGGGCCGGCGACGGCCGCTGGTTGGACGACGCCTCCTCGCCGACCAGCGGCGACGTCTTGCTCGAGCCCATCGGCACGGACGACGGCGGCGTCTTCTGCAACGCGCCGCGGTCCGCGTCCGTCGACGTCTTCTTGGCCGGCGTCTCGTTGTGCTCCTCTGAATCACCGGCCTGCTTGTGCCGGTTCATCTCGTACATGCTACCGCCACCGGCGGACATGGACAGCATGTCCATGTTCAGCTTGGGCACGAACTGGCCGAGCGCGGCGAACGGCCCGTGGAACAGCGGCAGCGGCAGCGACCCGTTGGCTGGCGGGAAGTATAGCGGGTGGACGAGCGGATGCGGTGGGTACGGGTGGAACCTGGGGTACACGGAGAACGGTGACGATTGCTGCTGCTGCTGCTGCTGCTGCTGCTGCTGCTGGTGGTGGTGGTGCTGCTGCGACATGTTCGGCGCGACGGGCGCGCCGCAACTGCTGGACGTGGGCAACGAGTTGGACTCACAGAACCGCTTGTGTTTGGACAACGACGTGCCCGTGCTGAACGACTGGTCGCAACGATCGCACTTGACTTGCATGCGGCAGTCGGCGTGCATCCTCTTGTGACGGCACAGGTTCGAGAACTGAGTGTAGGCCTGCAACGAGAGAACACTGCGGTCAGATAGGAGCGAACGGTGACAACAAAAACAACCACGTCGATTGTCTCGGAACCGAATAATGTCGCGTCGAACAAATAGCGAATAGAGAGGGATACCGTCATACGGATCGAGCGAGCGAGAGAGTGAGAGAGTGAGAGAGAGTGATTGAGCGATTCAGCGGGAGTAAGTGGGAGGGAGTGTGATAAACGGAGATGGCGGCAACGCGTTACAGGTACTCTCGTTATGTTCTTATATTAAAAACGTTATTATCGTCGACCGAACGCGAATCGGCCCCGTAGACAATATGCATCATTGTAGTCGTTCATCGCGCACGTATTGCGTTCGCGATAATCCGCGTATCGGAGCTGCGCCTCCGTCTACGTGACACCGTCCAAAGCGCACCGATTGCGCGGCCGCCATCTACGGCCTATCATTGCGGAAACGGGACACGTCGGTCACGCGCGACGTTCGGCACGCGCGCACGTAAGACCGCCCGACGATCGGGGTGGGAGGGTCGACGGGCGTAAATAACTCGCGGGACACGGTGCGCCGATAACGACACGTTCGACGCGTCGCCGGACGGCTACCGATTATTTTCATCCCTCCCCAGTTTCCGACCCCGTGTAGATAGTATTCGCGGTGATTCTGTAGGGGGGGGGGGGGGGGAGAGCGAACGGCACCGTCGCCACCCCGTGCTGCAACCGATACGCACCTTGAAGCAGACCTCGCACTGGAACGGTTTCACGCTGGAGTGGATGTGCGTGTGCTGCTTGAGCCCGCTGGACGTGGCGAACGTCTTGCCGCATTCGGAGCACGCGTGCGACCGGGCCCCCGCGTGGTTGGTCCTGATGTGCCTCTGCAGGTTACTGGGGTCGCTGAACACCTTCGAGCACGTCTCGCACGTGAACTTCCGGCTGTGCGCGAGCGCCAAGTGCCTGATCAGACACGGTTTCCAGCTGTACGCTTGCGGGCACAACTCGCACCCGTACTGGTTGGCCTTGTAGTGATGCCCGGACACCAAGTGATCGTCCAACCTGCACGTTTTCACGGTTATCGAATAAAACAAATAAACAATACGAACGTTCTACCGCTCTCGAGGGTCCGACACCCGCCCCCGACCCCTGCCGACGCATTGTGTGCTCGGCGACTATTAACCGCGTTCGATTGTTGCACACGCTCGAACGACGATCGTGCCGAAAGGCTGTTAGAAAACGACGATGTCAACCGCCGCGACGCGACACCTAATGATTACGTACGACGAGTAATTTTTAACTCTTTTCTCGTATTTTTATTTTTTTTTTTTCTCTCTCTCATTCCTATCGTTCCATCCCTCTTACCGGGACGGGACGCGCACCTGCGCTTCCCGGGCGGTCTTCGACACCTATACGCCGTACGTACGAAGCTCGGCGCGCGCGCCCGCCGTCGGGAAAATCGATGAACGTAACGTTTTTATTGCCGTTATCGGTCACGTATAGTAGTCTTTCTCGCGGGCGGGTGCAATGATTGTCGGATGAGAGAGAGAGAGAGAGAGAGAGTGAGTGAAAAAAAGGGCGTCTTGAAAAATGAAGTGCCGGACCGGCGGGCGGTCTCCGGACCGTGACCGCCGTAACACGTTTAAGCACTTAAAGCACCCTCCCGACATCGGATAAACTTTGTTGTCTGCTGATCAGATATAAATGTATCATTTACAATAAAAACCATATACGTATTACGTACGCACGTCGGCGGCCAGGGGAGGAAAATTAACAGCGTCGGGCGGTTAGCGGATTACACACTTTGGCGGGTTGTTCTCGGGAACGAGCAGCTATCGAACAAACCGATAACGGAAAACTTACTGTTCAATGTCGGGGAAGCACTTCTCGCACTGGATACATCGGTTTTGGTCGTCCTCGTCCGGTTCCTCGGCATCCACGTCCACGTCCCCGTCCCCGTCGATGGAACCCAACGAGTTCTGCGACGCGACGACTGAAACAACGAAACGCCACGGTCAGTACAGCGTAAAAAAAAAAAAAAAACACCACTCTGATCGTGAGGTGCAAACGACCGATTGCGGGTCAGGCGCGAAAGGTAAGTGAACATATAATATATCGTAGCCTCTACGCGTGGACGTGCGGCAGGTATTATGTACGTTACTCGTGTACCCCCTCGTGCCATTGGCTATCCGCGCGCGGTCCGTCCGTAATTCGAGGGATGAAAGCTACCTTCCGGAACGGAAACCAAACAGAGGGGTACTGCGGCGCCGCGCAATAATAATAATAATGATATCGTGTTTTATGCGTGTGCACGTATTACGACCAACCGTGTAATTCAGTTGCGGTGCCGGCGTCATAATTAATTCACGGTGGTAAGGCCGCGGGTAGGGTGGCTCGGCGTATTATGCGCGTAGGTACAATTCGAAATGCTATCTCATCGGAACGGACGCGCGCGTCAGGTGCGATCAGGATTTCCAACCGACGTTTTTGCCCGCAGCACCTGTTAAGAGATCATGCGGCGAGACTGTAACCGAAAAACTGTAACCGACGGTACCACGGTGTTGCAACGGTTATGATGACGATCGGTGCGCGATAAACACACGGTCGTGATGCGGATAGGTATGCAGGAACGATCGGTGCGAGTTCGTAAAGCGTGACGGTGTGACCGTTTTCGAAAAGTTAACAAGATGGCGTATAAGAATAGTTAAAAAAATTCTCAAAAATCATAAATCCGCAACGTTGTGCCGCGCGAATCTATTCCAATAAAAAACTCGTACTGTTCGCAAAAACTATTAAAGCTGTAGAACCGTGTGTAAAGGGGACGTTTGACGCGTGTAATCGAATATACGCCCACTAATACTCGGTTTTCGTTTGAGTTCACACGACCAAACCCCTTTTCGGTGACCCTCGCACCCGAACATATGCTTTTGTCACCCCGAGGTACGTTAAAAAAAAAAAAAAAAAAAAAATACGCACGAAGTTCGCTGAAAGTCAAAAGCTTCGACGTCGGTACGAGAAACCGACTATGTAGACGTTATTCGTAATAGGCTTACGTATTTTATCGGAACACGGTGTTTTATTATTATCCTGCGCAGCCACCTGCTTCCTGTGTTTCCGCATAAGTCTGTAACGGACCACAGATGGACTAATTGCAGAGGCGCGTTACCGTACGTTCTTTTGTGAACGGACAGACTCCGGTGATTTGCGTGAGAAACAACCTGGACGACATGGTGGTGGACCAGCGAGTGAGCGTAAGCATGCAGACGAGCTACCCCTTAGTCCCCCCGCGGCTACGGGTTCGCTGATGCAAGACAAACGCCAGACAACTGGTTCGGAAGAATAACGTGCACGGTTGGGGACGGACCTTAATGAGCGATGTTGCGAAACGATAAATATGCGTAGACATTTCGACGACAAAACGTCAAAACGCATATACAAGTATATACGATATCGACGCGCCAGTAATATTTTTATTTCATTATTTTTTTTTTCTTTTTTTTTTTTTTTATATCCTTTAACCGACGTCGTTTTCTGTTTTTTTCGACGACGTGCGTTACTGTCGTACGCGTGAAAAAAAAAACACAACAACGTCTGAACAACCGGTCCGCCGCTCCTCGACGCGAACGGGCGAACGATCGCGCGCATGCATAATAAGTGTACTACACGACGTGCCCATGACAACTGCACTGTACATGTGCGTGGCGGCGTACAGTTACTCGGAATATAGAATAAATAATAATAACAACAAATGGGGGTTAAGTCACACTGATTGTCGGGGGCAAGCGTCCGACCAGGTGTCTGTGACTCGCACCAGGAAGTGGGAGTTTGAATCTCTTCCGGTCATGTGAAAACCGTTAAAAAACGTGGGGTTGCACGATCGCAATCCGTCGGGGGATAATGAAATTCGTAGATCTCGCTAGAAGTGCACTAGATTATTCATCCGGTCCGGCGTGCACGTCAATGGACCACGTCGAGGACGTGTATCGGCGGACGAACGCGCGCAAAACTCCTTAAGCAAGGGTTTTGTTGTTTTGTTTCGGGGCCTGAGAACGGGGGTAATGATTGCACAGCGGTCGTTATATTTGGCCAGTGAACGCGATACGTAGAACAATCGCGTTTTTTCACGGGACACGTGAGCCATTTATGCGCCGTGCGCCGTCCCCAATTCCGATTTGAATCGAAAAATCTTGCGTGACCCATGCACAAGTCAAAAGTTATAACATCTGCGCGCGCGCACGAACCGGTTAGGGCAATCGCGTGACATCGTGGTCTCGTGTCAACGTTATTAAAAAAAAAAAAATGCAGATTTCAATCGGACTCGAAACCGTTCGTGAGGTTTACCATGCTACTACCGTGAATGAACAAACACCGCAGGCAACCCAGTAATATAGAATAGCGACGAAAAACTTTGCGAAGTTTCCAGCCGTCGGTCTCTCTCTCTCTCTCTCTCTCGCGAGCGCGCAGTAAAATTAACGTGCGACCGACATCATCGAGTACGCTAGTTTTTACGACTGCAAAGTCTTCTCAGCCGCCGTTGTTATGATAACGACGACAGTACGATACGCTCGTGACTGACACGCGGAAGGCGAGAAGTATTTAATTAATATTTGCATCAGATGTAACTAACGGTCTTCTCCGGAAGTGTCGCGCGCTCGCGAATAGTAATCGCGCTAATTAAAAACACCCTCGTATAGTAATTTTTATTCAGCTCAGCCCGGTCGCGTTCGTCCCGGCCAAGGGGGGGGGGGGGGCTCCGGCTCCGGCGGCGCTTGGCCGTGATATGTTTACGATCGTTCGGGGGCCGCGTGTGGATTTCGCACATTTTCACTCGGGATTGTAATATTATTGTATAATAATTATTGTTTCGAGGAAACGTGACTCACGCCACGCATTCGGGACAGCGATTGTTGCTTACGCGCTTAAAAACAACGTCTTGGCCGCGTCCGCCTACGATTGCAACGCGCGCAACGACTCGAACCGAAAACAATAATAACCGTTCTTATCGTCCGATTGTCGTGTACGATGTTTACGGTATAAAAAAAAATAAAAAAATAAATATAATGTTATACACCGAAACGAGAGTAACAACATAAGCGTTCGATTGCCGGCGTTAAGTACCGACACTTACGGTCTCGTGGTCAATATAATATTACCATTACAACACGTGATGATGGCGTAACACGCTGCTGCTGTTGCTATACGATATCGTCGAGTAGTTACCACCGAGTAATCGATACTGGAGATGTCTTGTACGCGCTTATCGTTATATTTTTATTTTGTTCGCGCTCGAAATCCAATAACGTTTCCTTATATTATGATTGTTTTACGATTATTGCCTTGTTCGCGTGTGTTTTTTTTTTTTTTTTGAATAAACATTTACACTCCACCACGATCGTATTGTGTTTGTTTCAAACGCGTACACACTAACGGGTTAGACCGTTTTTGGGAAATCCGTAAGTCTTTTCGTGTAACACCAACGCCGCGGTACCGGTGTTGTTCGGTCGGCGTGCATAATGGACCCCGTGTGTATTCGCGTACTCGCCGTACACAAGTATCGGGTTTTGCGGTACGGGGTGGGAGAAAAAAATCCCGTTTAATCAATTCAAAGCTATTAGGTCTTTATTACTCGTACAGGCGGAAGACAAATTATCTACCCTAATTTTCTTTTATACTCGTTCCCCGGTTGTTTTCGGTGCCCCTCGTCGTCGCCATATACCGCTACCGCCGCCACCGCCGACATCTCTATTATTATTATGTCGGACGCGATTAAAGTTATATACATACACACGTATATAATATGTACGTGTATATATATATATACGCGCACACGGAGATAATCTAGCGGCGTTTGTCGCGCGTCGGCTGCACGGTGGGTTACGGTGTGTTATTGTTCTCCGTCGTCGGATGTGTGAGCACGGACGGTGTGCGGGGGCAAAAAAAAAAACAGAAATAGAATGAGCGAGTGAGAGAGAGAGAGTGAGTAGTGAATGAAGGTGAGTTATGATATAAACCGCCCAGAAATATGATTCATAATAATGAATAGAAACGACCCTAATGCGCGGCGACATTCGGGAGGGGTTCCGTACATATGTACGTATTATACACACGTTGGCGTGTGCAATAAAGCGGCCAGCGGACGCGAAATGACAAATATTGTACAATGCAACGGACATGCGTACAGATCATTAACGGTGCGCGCCGTAGGACCCGATCCGGGGTACGTACGGCGCAGGGGGTGGAAAGTGCGTACCCCTTTACTCTGTGTACAATGTGTACGGAGTGTGTACGTGTGTTTGAACAGCTCTATTATCAGTCGACGGCGGGGAGAAGGACTTTAAACACGTCGTATTAGCCCCGAAGACCACTGCAACACCACCCCTTCTATCGCCCCGCTTTGTCCACGCGATCCCCGTGCGGGGAGGTGCTGAGCGCCGCGTGCGTCTGTGCGAATTCCGATTATTTTTTTTATTTATTTTTTTTTCGCCATGCCCCCGTTATAATAAAGTTGTTTTTGTACATTACATATATATATATATATATATATATATTGCGGTGATCCGCCCGACGCTTAAACGACTGCGATAAAAAAAAAAATAAATAAAAAAAAAATAAAATAAAATCATAAAACCAAATCATTGTGCGCGTGTCGCGCGTGGAAAATGTGACCGTGACGCGACGGTACGATTAATTGTGAATTAATTATTCGGCGACGACCGTTGTCGGGATTTGCTCCGTCGCTGTACGCACCACCGCGACGGTCTCCGTCCGCGTACGTATAATAAGCGCTATTATGCTATAGAAAACACAGATACGAGCTTGACGCGTTGAGATTAAAAGACGTGAGAGGGTGCGGATTTTCGCGTCCTGATGAATATTAAACAGATCGGCTGTACACGCGCGACACAACGTCGACAATGCGAACTGGATTCGGATCGAGAGACACGTGTGTCGTACATAAAATGTACAGTGACGTTTTAACTGTGACGTTTGAAAGCGATGATGGGGTGCGGTCCGGGAAAATCACGGAACACTTTTATATTTTCCGTACTCGGATAACCGGAACAAAGGGTTAGTCGAACTTTTACGTTTCTAACGGAAACCTTGAAATCCTATTGATTTTTCGCAGGATATCATTTATCGTCGCGTTTGATTTACCTGAATCCCTTTCACTTCGATCCTCTGACGTGGCCATTAGTTCTCCGAATGCCGCATCTAAGTTTAACGGCTCTCTCTTGCCCAATAGTAGTTCTTCGGAAGCTCTGACCGTGTGTGTTAATTCGTAAAATATCTGTACGTTTAAATAAATAAAAAACATTTAACTACCGAACACCGTTATTGTATCGTCGTGAAAACAATGTTTACCTGACCGGCCAGTAAAAACGCCCGAACGTTTTGTCTACTGCTGTCGTTGGTCGACCGGATGAATTTCAGCCAGTTATAAATTTCGATCGTGCCGTCCAAATATCCCGAGTATCCAGCAACACGGACCTGTGGACATAAATCGTAAATGATGTTTTAGATTATTACGTTCGGCTCTTTAGATGAGCGGAGAAGTGTCAGCAGGCTGTATGAGGTCGCTTTAAAACATCTCTCCTCTGCTCTCCCCGTTCTCTTCGGTCGGAGATCGTAATTAATTACACGAGCTTTAGGACAACTTGGCCATTAAATGTACGAAATCCGTGGTCGTTAGGTCTTCCCTCTCTGTCTCTAATTCACAACCAGACATAAATCACCCTCAACGGGAGCTGAAAAGAATCGTATAAAGGAGAAACCGAGGTTTCACACCCTTCTCCCAAGAAAAAGATGAACCCTTTGCGAGTTAATTGATGATCGCACCGAAAAAGATCGCCGGATACGCGGACCCGGATGAGGGGTCTTATTAATTAAACGTGACACATTTGAAGGACCTTTTTTCCGTGCGCACTTCGCAATTAGTAAGAGTCGAGGAGACGATAAAAGTCGGAACTCGGATTGTTTACGAGACGGGGAACGTTCAATTTGCATTGCGGTTCGAAAACTAAGGCGCTGGAGACGGCAACCGCCGGGCACGTGTTAACGACTAGTGGTGGTAACCGAATGCGTCGAGGCGCAATATATTCATTACGTATTATTCGATTTATCCAATATCTGCGGACAACATAATCGGTTCACGTTCAAGAACACGGCTGTTTGTCTCGAATAAATCGCCCGACCGTTTCCGTTGCGCGTGAAACCGCGAGAAGGCGTAACGGCTTGTACTCTTCGTGAATAAATATTCAAACTCGAAAACGTATTGTTTTCATTTCGAACTCGTTATAGGCGATCGAAAACGCGATCGTATAACTTGTGAACAAGTTTCACGCACGGGTTTTTATTTTATTTTTTTTTTATTTTTCTGTTTCCGTTGCGATCAATAGGCATTTCGTTAAAAACCCGTTTCGGAAAACATTCGTTCCTTCGTTGCGACGGGGAAACCTATTCAAACGACGGTTACGCGTTTGATTTGATCCGGGACGATTAATAACGATTTAAATAGATGGTTAAACACGCTAATGGGCGCCATTACGGAAATCAAATGAAAAATAATAATAAAGAATATAATCAGCGCCGATCGCAGCCGTTTCGAGTGCCACCGGTGTTTGGATGTCAAATATGGACGGTGTTCTGCACGTTACGTTCGACGGTTCACGAGTAGGTAGCCACTTGGGCGCGGGCGCTCGCGACACTATTATAATAAAAATCATTTAATCGTACTGATAATGTTATTACGCGTTCCATTGTACTGGTACGCCTTTTGCATAATATAACACAATAAGTGCATTACGTTTGCGATAAGGGCGGAGCGAGCGTGTGTTTTAAGTGATCAGTCAAAACGACGGCTTGTTTAAATTTTCAAAATTTGCATAGGTCTTGTTTTTTTTTTTTTTGTAATTTTTTTTTATCCTTATTCTCGCACGCAATTATAACTGCATTCACAGACTTGATCGATACGTGAACTTAACCGATATAAAAAAAAAAAAAAAAAATAAAAAAAAAAAAACTCAAAACGTCGTACTAAAAACATGATATTGTAAAAACGTATGTGTGTGTGCGTAAAACTGCATACTGCGTCACTTCGTGTACACTGATACGATATTATTATTGTATATTGGGGCGATAAACATAATACGCGTCCTATTGACACCTCACCACTGCCGTTTCTCACCCGAATGTCAAACACAATAGCGGACATCTATATTATTATATATTCGGTAGCCGCCCGTCGGCAGATGTCCGATGATCCGTCCACACGCACACACAAATAAAACATTATATGTATAATAATACGCGGGAGCGGAATATTTTTCGTGAAAAAATCGTTGTAAGAAAAACTTTACACGCGCATATGCGTTTCGGCTGCTGATGGATGATTCTTAGATTTTTTTTAGTGAAATCACGTTATTTATTTCAATCGAAAATAAAACACACATAATGTATATATTGTGGACTTCTAAATTACATTGATACAAAAATGATGATTGTATAAATAATTAAAAAAAAAAAAATTTTTTTTGTTGACCTATGGAAGGAAAACGCTGAAGACCGCCACGGCGCACTGCAAGAACCGTAACGAATGTAATCTACATGTATACCGTACACGCCGCGAATCGGTGGAACTTCAGATGTGAGGAGGGGGGCACTACATTTATAATATCGGACGATCCTCCCGCGGCTGTTTGCACAGGGTAGCTGATGAATTTTTAAACGACCTCTGTCTGTGCGTTTTATATATATATATACACATAAAATCTCTCTGCACGGCGCCCAAAACCTATCCCTTCCGTCCGGCCCTCGTCCCTTCGTCATCGCCGCAGAACCGCCGCGCTTTCCCCCGAGCCCGGCTGATTCGGTCCTGCTGCAGGCATCCGACAGCATAATGTTTACCGTTTTATCGAAAAGCTGCTTGTGAATAATTGCGTCGTATATACCAATTCTGTTCGCGTCCGTAAATACACATCTACACACACACACACATACATACACACCGCGCTATACATATAACACACGTACTGCGTACACAACCGCAACGGTTACAATATGACTTTTGTGTTTGCATTGCGCGCGGCGAAATACAGTGTTCGCCCAGAGATCAAACCTTTACCTGTTCCCCACCCAGTCGACCGCGTTTGTTCGACGATTCTTTTGCCTCCACCCCCGAGATACCCTTCCGCCGCCCGCCATCTGCAAATCGCCATAAGAAACAACGGGTTTCGCATCGACCGCGGAGACATCGCCGTGGTTCGTCAACCCTACACGAGTGCTATGCGATCGATAAAATACTATGCGGAGTATAACGTATCGTAAAATATTATACCGTGCTTACAAATGTATGAAACAATTTATTCGTAAAACGTTATTATGAAACAGTGATAGTACACAATATGTTGTAAACATCACAACCGTTGACCACTGTTGTTTGAAAGGTAAAAAAAAAAAAAGAAACAAACATTTATATGCACTATAGCACGCAGATGCGTAAGTTATTACGCAATTCTTTTACAAAGGCATTGCGAAAGCTTGTCGGCAATCGATATTGACGAGAAATGCGCTGTGACGTTTGCTTTTTCTCGATGTCAACATGATAATATTATAACCTGAACTTTTATTCGAAACTACGATTTTCGGCACAGTACAGTTGTATGCAGATATCGCGAAATAAACTGGGCATTTCGAAATGTGATGAGAACGAACTGCTGGTTTGTAAACTGAACTTATACAGGAGCACAAGCGAAATCAGATTCACCGACGGAATAAAACATCGTAACAATCGAAAAACGTGCAATATTCCAATGCACGACATTTAAAATCATTGAAATAAACAAATTGCGAAGTAACATACGGGTAAAAATGTGCGTATTATTGGCTTTTATTTTAGAGAGTAAAATTAATTTCGGTTATTTTATTCATTCACGGTAATTAAACTCTGTCCCCGTACGGCAGAGGGGTACTCGAGTACAGCGCACACACGTGCGTAGGTCACGGTCAATAAAGCATCGCGTTTGCGGTATTAGGTGTACAAGTTCTACCCATAAAGGTATATGTATTATTTAACCGGATAAAAAAAATTGTCTTTACGTACAGTAATAATAATTATAATATAAAATGCAACGTCAAAGTGTACACTACTACGTATTATAATATTATTATTATTATTTTGTTGATAGCAGGAACGAAAGCGTGTGACATTATTCAGTAACATTTTCATTTTCGTATTATCGTTCGTTGTAATTATATGTAAGTCTACGTGAGTTTCTTATCCGTTCCATTGGAGCACTATACAGTGAAGCCGAGAAAAATAAACTAGAACGTAAACACTTCGAACGTCTATAAGTTCAACTTTCGTCAACACGAAGGGATTTCTTTGTCCCGGCGGTTCTACAGATGATGAACAGAATTGCTGTTTTTGTAATGTTCGGTATAGCAATTGTTTTTTCGTCCGATTCTCGTTATCGATGTTATGATCCTTAACGGTTGACTCTGTGCAAATGTACCGATACACGAACGTAGTACGAAAAACGGTGACGTTATAGTCGAACGGTTGCCCCGTACATATTGGTTTATCGAATCGTGTCGCGGCAGGACGTTGGCAATGAACCGATGTGACGGCGGGGAAATCGACGTTTAGGATCGTAATAATTTCGTCACGCGAAACACAAGGACGCAAACGTCATTTGAGGAAATTTGTTTAAACGCGCAACGGCCGGGTTCACCAACACGTGTGCGCGTGTACGTACGGATCTCGTATGGACGAAGGCGCGCGCGTGACGTGTTTATCGCTCGTTTTCGAAAAAAAAAAAATCCGTTTTAATTGGCACGCACAGCGGTCAAATTTCAAATATTGCTCATGAACGTACGCGTCATATATCACCGTGTGTTGGTGTGCTGCGCGTACGCATAAATATACGAACATACATGTTTAATATACGGTGTTATATCATCGTGTCCAGCAGCTGACACTGGACGTTTTGTATATTATTGCGACGAGACGACCGTAATAACTCATTAACGCCACTCGCATCCGCGGCGGACGGACGCGCGCATACCCTCCGCTCATGACCGACTAAACACCCTCTCCGATGGTCACCGATCGCGCCCCGGCTACGGCTCTCCGTGTGACGGAACCACCGAAGTCTTGACCTCTACCACCGCTGCAACGTGCAGTGACTGCTATCCGCGATATATATCGTAATGATTATACTCATTATTGTTGTTACTGCTATTAAAATATTATCGTGTAGAGGACGCGGCAATAATATAATAATAATAATAATAATAGTAGTTTTATACGTGTTCGCGCCCGGACGTTAATGGCCCTCGACGTTCACGGGACCGTATCCCGACAAACAATAACACGCGCGGGGAAAGAGATAATGCGCGATAGGGATTGACGCGCGCGCGCGCGCTCGTTCCTAACCCTTGTGCGATATTTGACGGCCTATAAATATATACATAATACACGTGTGTTATGT